CTAATTTTTGCCTTTTAACATCTCTTTATCATCTTTCTAAAGTTATGAAATATGACTATAAAGCCAGAGGATTAATTTTCTATTGCGACTTGTGAAGCACGTTTAACTTATTCAGCGAGTACCTACTAAGACTTTACCACATGCCAGGTTCCCCGGGAGGGACCAGAGATACAAGCATAAAAGTTGGACCAAGTCTTGCCCTCCAGGAATCCTAACATTTCATTACGATACAATCAGATCCTGAAATTACTTAGTGACCTGACAAAAGCATTCAGTAGACAGTTTGTGCAAACCGGAAAGCAAAACATCAGTCTGTTACTGTTGTGATCAGCAGAAGCCATGAGGAGATGGTGCTCAAAGTGGGCATCTCCAAGATCAAGTGCTCCCTTCGATTCTCCTTATGTGAAGTAGAAAAACGTAGAATTTGGGATCCGAAATGGACCTTAGGGAAGACTGAGAAATCTGTTGCTTATAAAGTAGACTCTAAAAGGAGACTATTACTCAGAAATGAAAATAACTATTTAGTTTTATAAATTTATTTTCCCCCAAGTTACATATCATATAATCAAAATTAGAAGAGTTCACGAGGTCAGGAGCCTAACATTGGTTGCAACTCTGACCGCACATCAGAATCACCAGTGGAGCGTAAAAGAAAAAAAAAAAAAATAGATGCCTGGCAGTTATGCACTGAAATTAAGACACTGTTGGTCCAGGCTAGACCTTTTTTTTTTTTTTTTAAATAAAAAGCTACTCCTACCCAGTTGCTTCTGATATTAGTCAGTGTCAGTAAAATATCACTGATTTATCATATGACTACTTCTATGTCAGGAATTAGCATAAATGCTACCTTATTTCATCTACATCAAGCACATGCAAAGTAAGCATTATTATTCCCATTTTTTCAGATAACTCGCCTAAGGTCACAGTAAAGGCAGGAGCTGGCACTTAAACTTGCGTCATCTGGCTCTAGAATCTTCTGGTCTTTCCTCTACACATCAATGAGGTCATTCTTTTTTTTTTTTTTTTGAGGAAGATTAGCCCTGAGCTAACATCTGCTGCCAATCCTCCTCTTTTTGCTGAGGAAGACTGGCCCTGAGCTAACATCCATCCCCATCTTCCTCTACTCTATACGTGGGACTCCTACCACAGCATGGCTTGCCAAGTGGTGCCATGTCCGCACCCAGGTTCAGAACCAGCGAACCCCAGGCTGCCAAAGCAGAACGTGCACACTTAACTGCTGCGTCACCAGGCCGGCCCCCAATGAGGTCATTCTTTGCAGAAAATTAGAGCCAGAAGGAGTCACCCTAAAGATGATCTGGTTCAAAACTTTCATTTTATTTTTTTTGATAAAAAAATGAGTCTCAGGACAAGAGTAGTAACCTGGTCAGAGATACAGGGCAGCTAAGGGCAGAGACTGAACTAGAGGTGGGCTCCCAACATCCCTAGTTCAGTTTTATTTTCAATACACGATTTCCGTCAAAAGCAAAACACACATTCTCCACTTTCATAAAGTACTGCTGCATCTTCTCTTGAAACGGAGTATTCTAACTCAACCCAAAACTGCATCTTAAAGAGTGTCCCCACCTACTAATTGGTGTGAATTAGCCAAATATATCAAATATTTTACACAGAGGAGCATGCGTAGTTATGCTACATATAATTCCTTTTTTTAAAAGGTAAAAAAAATCCTTTATGGGACAAATTCTATATCTTTTGTAAATTTTTTTTAAGAAAACTATTTTTTGAAAATAGTGATCACCTTCTCACATGATTTTCCAAACACCTCAAAAAAGTCTCTAGACTCACACTGGCGTCAGGTGACAGGCCATCTGAATGCAAATGCTATGTAAAAAATAAAAAAATAAAAAGCATTCTCCTGACTGGACAGCAGAGGGAGAAGGAGGAAAGGACATGCCACGGGAAGATGCGGATCCAGGAACTGGAAGAAGGCGCTGCCTCTTACAGAACTTCACTGACAGACCAGCAGGCAGGGATATGTTTACGGAAAAGAGACTTGGAAACAAATCAGTAATGGTTCCAGCCGCCAGGGCGCGTGGGTGGACACCCCAGCAACTCCAAGCCTGACCCAGGTAACGATCTGACTCCAGAAATTGACAAATGACATTTCAACCTGTTTGATTTCCAGGTTGTGGGGGATGAGGGGTGTTTTCAGACGGGGAGCATGAAAAATGCTAAAAAACAAAATGTACCTGATCTTGAAAAAACAAATATCAAAAATGAGCTTGAGAGATCAAGAACTAAAACAGAACAGAAACACAGTCAGTTCTGCCCCCAAAGGAGAAATGTCAGTTCTTTAAAGCATTGAAAGACTCACCCTTGAGATTGGAATTCTTAAATCAAGAAGAGTGTGGATTTAAGGAGTTTATCAATCTGTTCGCTAGAAGTGATGACAGAAATGAGATGTATTAGAAAGAAGCAGTGAAGTGGCCGTTTACCTTCTCATTTAACCTGGCTGTTGTCTTTGTTGCTTCATCAAATCTTCTCATTTACACCCCATCATACAGGAGGGATGATTAAAATGTCAGCCCCGATTCAAAGAACTGATGTATGGCAGAAACAAATATATTCATATGCTTTCTAGAAAGATTAATAGTAGCTGGTGCTAGCCTGCCAAATGCACATGTACAAACTTTCTATCCTATACATAAATCAAACACAAGGCATATGGTGTATTTTAAAGACTGCTGATGTTACAGTGATTTTAAATTACTCAGGTTCTGGAATAAACTATGTAGATGTTGACTAATGTGGCAATATATTCTGGATCTGCCTATATTAATTTAATGTTATAAAATGTAACATGGCATCAACCAAAAGAAGGTCTTAGAAATTAAGGAGAGAGAATGCAAACACATTTGAAATCAAGGGGTATGTTTCTAGACATCAGCTGTTTGCTAGTTTGGGCAAATTCACTACAATATGGTTCCAGTAATCGTGTAAATTAGTAGATTGTAATGAGACTTTATTTTTTGATTCACTCAAAAGTGAATTAATGGAAAAGAAAAACTCAACACATTGATAAAAGAAATGAAGGAGCAAATAAATGAAGTAGGAGAGAAAGGTGGTTTGGGACTTTCAAATGAGCAGCGGCTGAATCAGAGACGCTCCTGATGTACCCGGAATGACTTAAAAGTTTCCAAGTTGTCAGCCACAAAAACCAGCAATTATGCAAAAATCAGGGTTATTCAGAGTTAAGTTGGGCAGAGCACTGGATTAGAAACCACATAGTTGAGGTGAACTTTTCAGTCCTGCGGGCTGGCACCTTCCTACCTTTCGGGGAAGTGGTAAAAATGAGATGAGAGGTACGTGCTGGTATGAAAACTGCTTTTTGTGAATTGCTAACTTGTCTATAAGTGCCAGGTATCATTATCATTATCATCATCATCATCCTCATCCTCATCCACATCCTCATCCTTACACTCAAGTAACTTCCTAGTACAGCTCGGTCACTGTTTAGAAAACAATTACCTGTACAGTCAAGTGATCTAGGTACAAGAAGAGACTTCAAAATTGTATCGGTGGAAATAACATTTTTAAAAATAAAATCTGCACAATGGCTTTTAGGAATGAATGAACCCTGTTCAAGAAGGGTTGACTGAGCATTTCGATCCACACCATTGCTCTGAATTTTGGATTTCCTTCCAACAACTCCAATCATTTTGATCACAGAACACACAGCTTCATGAGAGCATGAGAACACGGCTGCTATGACATAAACGAGCTCCTCTGTTGCCACAGAACCAAGGAGAGATGAAAGTTTGGTTCCTGATCTCTTTTCAGAGGGTCAGAATATGCCATGCATGAAACAAATCATGTTGGCAAGGATCAGGGAACAATCAATCTCACACTCATTATGTGAGATGATCCGTCAAGACTAGTCACAAATACATATCCGGGAGCAAGACATTCCAACGTTGTGACAAATATTTCTCAGTGTGAGGTCCTGGGAGTTCTGGTGGGGCAGGGGGTGGCGGGTGCAGGGAAGGGAAAGAAGGAAGCCAAGTGTCTCAAGATTTAGAATACCTCACTTCCCTGAGACCCATAACCCCTTCATTAAAATGTAGGTATGTTGAGATATGTTTTTTAAGATGACTGTGGAGCTATTTGTTCCTGTCAAGTGTAGATAATCATATACATATTCATTCATTCATACATTCATTCAATACCTATTCATTCATGAATGCCTAGCAGGAGTCAAGTAATGTCTTAAATCCTAGGGTTACAGCTGTCAGCAAGTAGGCACAGGCCCTGGCTCTGTGGATTTTATAATCTAGTGAAAGAGAGAGAGCAACAAAGAAAAATAAATAAATACACAAAACAATGACTTGTGACAATAGTAATAATTGTGCTACCGCTCTGAAGAAACGGGGTGATGCAGCAGAGCGTACACGGAGGTGTTGGGGGCTATTTAAGATAAGTGATCAGAGAAGCCCCCTCTCAGGAGGAGACTTGAATGAGACTGAGCCAGCCAAGTAAGAGCTGGGAAAAGAGCATCCCAAGCAGAGGGAACAGGAAGTGCAAAGGCCCTGAGACAGGAAAAGGCTAGGAGCACTGAAGGCACTTCGGAAAAGAAGCCAGGTAGCTAAAGCATAGCAAGGAGAGGAGTGTGAGATGAGGTTGGAAGAGTGGTCGAGAGTCACTCCTTTTCTTTTTTTTTGCACGCACACTGTGCAGCCAGGGTCCGGGAGACTTAAAGGATACAGGTTTAGAAATCTTAATGGTTTGTAAAAGGCAGAATCTGATTTACATTTAAAATTATCACGCTAGCCATGCGTGTGTAACTTAATGTATAAACACAACCCTAAAAAGGCTGGCATTTGGAGAAATCGAAAGGCATTTTGAATGCATTTCCAAATATTTAAACAAAAACGATCTTCAAGGAGTAGACATTTAAAAAGCCCCAAATAGCCATCTGAAGTCCAGTAAGCTAAACAATGGAATGTGGTTTAAAAAATCAAAGAACAAAATAAACCTCGTACCTCCTCGTTGCACCAACAACGTGACCTCACTTCCCTTCGGACATTCAATCAGCATATCCACAACTTGGTTGTGAGTCAGTGCCTGCACGTTCTTCTTATTAACTTCCACTATAAGATCCCCTTCTTTCAGGCCTCGGCACCTTGGACTGTCAACAATCTGTTTCACCCTTTGGCCGCCACCACCAGGACTGTCTGCGATGGTAAAACCAAAGCCCATCGGCCCTTTGACTATATGAACAGTTATGAGTTCCGGCTGAGTGGCTATGGAGGAAGCCAAAGAGACAGTGTCATTGGGGTAACCATGGGAACCATTCGAAGCCACGTCAGCCGGGCTGCTTGGCCTGGCATCCTTCATGCCGTTGACTTTGCCTGTTTTACTACTGTGACTAGCTGGCGAATCGTAGGTCTCTTGCCCATTCACAATAATTGGTTCTTTATCCAAAATGGCCACCGAGGTCACTAAACTCGTATTGGGGTCATCTGGGTCAAAAGGCAATGGATAACCTCGGCAGAGTTCAAGGTCCACACTGGCACCAATGGGAATGGACTGAAAGATTTTCACAACTTGCGCATGTGTGTGTCCCAAAACACAGGTGTCGTTCACACTGACAATTACATCTCCTGCAAAAGGTAAGAGTTTGGGGGTTACAAAAAACACAGTATCCAGAAAAGTTATATCCATATTATAATATAAAGTCCTACCAATAGGAAGTTGAACTGCAACTGGATTTGGGGGTAGTATCATAGGGCACAAAGAAACTGCTTCTATTACTTATTTTAACCGCTAATAAGGCATTCTTTTAGCATCTAGTGTCTTCCCTGATAAAGAAAGTATAATGATCATTGAAAGAACACTAGGGCTTTATTCTAAAATAAATTCTCACTGCAGAAATCCGTTTATTCAAATAGATCTACATTTTTAGTAAATTACTACTTTATGTACTCAACAGCACCCTAACAGTTCCCCAAAGTTAAAATGGCCTCAAAGTTTTCAACTATACCAGGGGATACATTTATGTAGCAAAGGAATCTTGCTCATTTCCAAACTTATTAAAGGACATTTATAAAGTTGTGAAATCAAGATGCTGTTTGGTCTTGTTCAGATGCCAGGTAGAAGTCTCACCACACAGGACACGCTAAGGCCCTGTGGTGTCTCTACCTGTTTCCATCTTGCCGTCCAACGCGGCGGGACCATCGAGGACCAAGCTCTTGATCTGCAGAAACTCGTCAGGTTCATCCCCTCCAACAACCGTGAAGCCAAAGCCACGACTGCTTTTCCGCAGCTTTGTGTGAATGAACTTGCCTTTCAACTCAGAAGGGTTTCGTGTAAAAAAGGGTTTGCCTGGATTAAAACGAGAAAAGTACAAGGAATGTCAACACGAGTCGAAAGATGAATTAAATAAGAAATGACACAACTTACAGATAACTCTCCAAGTGCCTGAGCTGGGGCATTTGTGCATATAGGTGTCTTAAGAAGGTGCTCTCTTGATTTCAGGAATAAGGGTGATCCTAAGCCCCTGGGTTCAAGGAGGGTGATAAGGTGCATAAAGCCTGTCAGCATGAAGCTCTAAAAGAAAATATAAGCAAAGGATGGAATTGGTGTCCATCGGCTGACACACTTCCCTGGCGTCAGTTCATGTAATTTGACAGCAATTGAGCTGCCATGAGATCCTGCACAGAAAATGGAGTGGGTCTGTGTTTTGTGTCTTTTGTTTTGTTATAGTTTATATTTTATAATATGGCCTCCAATGTGGTGCCTTGGGCTTAGCTTCCACTTGTGAAACCAATTCAGCAAAAACTTCAGCTTGTAACCAAACAGAAAACTCATTGTGAAAATACACAGATATTACTAGGAAAACATATTATAGTCACAAAGAATAATTTGATAAAAATGCAGAATCACTACTTTCAGAATTAATAGTCATAACTTTACTTTGAACTGAATTCTAAATTCAACTGATTTTTCCTGTTAATTTGCATCTTTTAACCATCTATGAAATAGCCCAGGCATGTCCACTGCTAAAATTTATTATTTAAAAAAAACTTACGACATGTGTCTTAGGACACTTAAAAAAAACTAAACTAAACTAAATAGTCACTAACAAAAGCCATACAGCACCAAATTCGGCTGTCATTTAAAATAAACAGATAGCCAGCTAGCTAAATAACTTCCAAACATGCTACCAAAGGTTTTATTGTGTTTTCTTGATAACATTCACAAATAAAATTTTGTACACAAACCAAAAATTTTACTTTGGCTTTTATTAAGTGGGCACTTCTCTGTAATTGAGAAACTCACTAGAATCTCTCCAGTTATCCTAAATACCGTACATAATTCATGCTCAGACTCTCAACTCTCCTAATTATACTTCCTATCTCCTGCCCTTGCCATAGCTTCTCCACCTGCCCTATTTCTTTTCTATCAAAAATGTTATAAAAAAAAAAATCCAGGAGAAAAAGTCTCCATACCCCCCTGCACTAGAGCCTGGCACCCAGGAAGGAAAGTTATTTTTGGTTAACTATATCTCAAAGGCTTTTGTAAAAGGCACACATACAATTTTTAATTGCATATTTCAAAAATTTCTGACTCTTAAAAAGGCTCTTTTAAATTGCCTAGAGTCACAGGTCTGCTCACCAATCGCCTCCTCTGGTCTAATGCAGTCAGTCCCAAGGCAGGCTGAAAGTCTGACAAACTACAGGCCAGTCACCACGGCTAAAGAAAGGCAAGATCTAGCAGGATTCACCACGCAAAGGCACCAGGCACCAAGCCAAGGCACCAGGACGGTGATGTCAACTGCAGTCGGGGCTTAGGGGGAGACAGCAGCCACAGCAATTATCAGATGGAAAACTGAGGACAGGTGAGACTTGACTTTGGGAGGTGTGTGAATGGTCTACATTCTTGAGGCTGAGGCTGTTAGGAAGTCTGAGGAGCTTCAGGGCAAGCACATCTCAGTTACGCAGAGACATCGACACCCGTCACCTTCTCAGTGAGGTTTCCTTGGCCACCTTTAAAAACTGCAATACCTCCTCCAACATCCCCAATCCCCCTTTCCCACTTTATTTTTGTCACCATCCAATACAGCAGACATCTGACTTATTCGTTTGCTGTTTTGTCTCATCCTCCCCCATTTCCACACAAGGGGGCGCTGCACTGCACACATCTACTAGAATGTAAGCCCCACGAGGATTCCTGCTTGCATATGGAGAGAGCAGAATACTGGCCATTTCATTCTTATGGGCTCCAAAAACTTACAACGAATGACTGAACAACAGCCTAAAGAATGAGATTTAACATGTCTTTGAGAAGGCTGGAAAGAGGTGGTTGGGTATTTAAGCTTTTTACCCTTATTACAGGCAAACTGAGAAAATGTGCCTGGCGGTTTATCTGACTAAATTTCTTTAAAGCCATTAGCATATTTGCGCTTAGAATGTTTTCAACTTAACAGAGACACGAGTAGAGCTTTGAAATTACACCAGTGACTTCCTTTTTTAAAGCTTAACTAGGGAGGGAAGATCAGAAGGTTTCCCATTTATGCACATTTTATTACGTTTTATGTATGAGTGGGTCATCAGTTAATGTAGCTATTGAAAAGAACTGCTTGTCTCCCCACAAGCAGTGGAATTGGAGCTCTCTGCTGCAGCCCTGTGGTGCATGTAATTTTCTAAGAGATCCTAGTCAGTTGACAGCTGTCAGATCTGGTTATGTATGAGAATCACTGGAGTAGCTTTTTAAAATGTACAAATTTCTAGGGTCTACCCTAGACTCAATCAATAAGGATTTCCTGGGTTTTGGCCCCAAAAATCTGCTCTTGAACAATCCACAGGTGCTTGTGTCCCTGACAGGTTGGCACTATTCTTAGCACTAGCGTTTAACTACTCAGACCAGTGCTGTACAACAGCATTTTCTGTGACAAAGGAAATGCTCTATATCTGCACTGTCCAATATGGCAGCCACTAGTCACACGTAGTTCTTCAGCCCTTGAAATGGAGCCAGCAGGACTAAAGAACTGAATTTTTAATTGTAATTAATTAAAATGTAAATGGCAACATGTAGCCAGTGGTATCCAGACTGGATGGCACAGACTTAGACTATGCAATGAGGTCCCCCACAAAAAACAAAACGACAAAAAGGCTTTAGCCAGAAGTTAAACTATTCCTCACGACAATGAAGTTTTTAAATCTGCGCTCTACTGGCTGTGTGGCCTTGGGCAAGTCACCAAACCTCTCTCTGCCTGAGTGTCGCAGGTGTAAACGGAGATAATGATGGTACCAACCTCACATGACAGTTGTAAGGAATAACTGTGACAGATCACACAGGTAAAGGAATTAGCGAGGTGCTTGGCCCATAGTAAGAGTTCAATAAATGGGAGTTGTTGTTCTGAGTGACAGTGGTAGTGCAGCGGGTGTGAAGGAGGGAGAGCTGCAAAGTGTCTCTCTGAGCTTAAGGTGGAAGCTGGGGAGTTTTCCTAATAGCAAAGCTCTTTGTAAATTATCATTTGCTGGGATGAGAAGTACGCTCTTGGTCAGAACGAAGTGTAGTTGAGCGGTAAACTTAGCAAAACTCATAGCAAACAATCTAACCAAGTGAGCTATAGAGCTTCTTCCTGACAGTACTATCAGGAGCGAGATCAAGATACTCCGGCAGCAGGCAGGTAATCGGAGGTGGTGTAAGCAATGATGATAAAGTCCAGGTTAACATTTCCCACAGTCATAGCTTGGAGTCAATGGGCATGGATTCTAAACTGGCTTGCCTGGCACTGATCCTATTCCAAAGACGATGACTGTGTTTGAAAGGTGAGGATCAACACGGAGACTGCACAGGAGAAGGGCTCTAAGAATAATAAGTAGTTCCTGGGAGGGTTCAGGGAGCCTGAAGATTCCCAAAATGCCAGGGGACCCAAGAGGGCTGAAGAAGAAAAGAAAAAAGAAAAAACACCTAGAAAAGGAGGAGACAGAATCTAAGATGAAGCCCCTAATGCAGATAAATACCATCCAGACTCTTAACTCAGTTGGTGCACTTAAGGATTTAGTGCTTACGACCTGAACCTTGAAAGCTTTAATTGATTTAATCTCTAAGATAATTCTTCGAGGAAGTTTGGCTGGTTATCATGCCTGCACGTATGCACGTGTACATATGTACTCTGTTTTCACTCAACAGTAAATTTCAGAAGCTAGAACTAAAGGGATTATGTCTAGATTGGGGATCCTACAGGGAAAAAGCAGTCTGCTGCTCCATGGGCTTTAAAATGTAAAGAGGAAACTACTGTTAAATAACTGGGCACTAATTATAAACTGTTAAATTTCTATAAATGAGAAGTATAAGATGGAAAGAGTGAATGTGACAGGGGAATTTAGCAAAACTTCAGATGAGTTGGAGTTAGGAAAATAAGGAGTGAAAGCAAAACGGAGCTGCACACAGAAGGAAGAGCATATGCAAAGGCTCTGACGCGGTCCACAGTTTCACCAGTTCGAGGAACTGAAAAGAAGGTTGGTATAGCTAACTTAACAGTGAGGGGGCAAATAAGATGACACGAGGCTGCAGAAGGGATTTTATATTTAAAAATATGAAGGAGGCCACAATCATGTTGTTATTAGTTAATATGTAGTTGTTAATATGTAGTTAATATGTGTTGTTAATATCTAGTTAATATGTTCTTTTAAAGTATGCTTTTTTTTTGTTGAGGAAGATTGGCCCTGAGCTAACATAGGTTGCCAATCTTCCTCTTTTTTATTTTCCCCCTCCCCAAAGCCCCAGTACATAGTAGTATATCCTAGTTGTAGGTCATTATAGCTCTTCTATGTGTGATGCTGCCACAGCATGGCTTGATGAGCAATGCATAGGTCTGCGCCCTGGATCCAAACCAGAGAACGCCAGGCCGCCAAAGCAGAGCACGCAAACTTCACCACGCAGCCACGGGGCGGGCCCAAGTTAATATGTTATTATCTACTACGTTCTATCTTTATTAAAGCCATTATCACCATAAAAAAAGTACATCCAAGCCAGAAGAAATTATTTTACATCAATTGATAGTAATACAAATCTCATGACGATATCAACTAGCAGGGAAACAATGTCTTTTTATGAAAATTATAATGGAGGAATCAAAATTAGGGAAAGGAATTATTCTCCTTATCTTTTTATGTCTAATACAGTTATATCTCTTTAAAAATGTAAAGAGGAGGATAACAAACTTTTACAGCTGTTTCTGTACCACAAACATTCATTCCCCAACTCTATCAAATACAATGCTTGTTCTATTTTTCTTACTTAAGAGAAAAAAACCAAACCAAAAAACAAAAACCCTCAAAACTTCCTCTGTCATTTAAGAGTAATGGGGCCTGGAAGCAGCAAGATCCTGGAGTTTCCAATTTTCAAGCCTGAACCTCACTAGGGAGCTCACACTATTTGTGAATATAAATAAGTGAGACCCAGTGAAAGGTTGTAAAACATGCATAAATGTCAAAACTGCAGTAAGAATAGGGGATGAGAATTTAAAACTCAGTATCAAACCATCTTACATTTATAGGAAAATTTTGGTCAAGTGCAAACATGTTGACTAGAATCTTGAAATATCTAATTCTGAGTTTTCAATTTCTCTTATTTAACACAATACTAAATATCTGTGGTCTCAAAATCAATGGTTTGCAACTCTGGGATGGTTTTGCCTCCCAGGGGCACTTTGGTTGTCACAATAGGGGCAAGGGTGCTTCTGGCACCTAGTGGGTAGAGGCAAGGGATGCTGCTGAACATCCTACAAGGCACGGGGCAGCCCCACAACAAAGAATTATCTGGCCCAAAATCTCAACTGTGCTGAGGTTGAAAAACCCTGGTTTAAATTGATCGTTATGACAAGCAGTCATTATTTTTAGAGCATTACAAATAGCTAAGGAAATTCATACAGAAAAGTTTCTAATCTTTTTGACAAGTCTGATTAACAATACATTTAGAATTTCTATAATTACCGTTTTTACTATCAAAGGAATGAGTCGGGAGTTACAAGATTCCACTTTTTTAAGTATCTTTAAAAACATTAGATTTTTGAGCTAAAACTATGATGCAATTATAAAAAACACTTTACCCTGAAGCGGAGCTTCTCTGGCTGGCTCCGGATTGCTTGGGGGGTGGTTTGGAATTACAGGAGGCACAAGCGATGAATGGTCTTCTGTCCATTCTGTAAGAAAGAGAAGAAACAGTTTACTCATTTTACTTTAAATGGCTGGTTGACTTACTAGGATTCACCTTCTCTTAATTATAAAACTACTCAAATCAATAAAACCAGAGGCAGAGAACTTAAATTAAAAAGAAATTGGTATCTGACCCCACTCCATGTTAAGAATATCAAGATATTTCTCTCTGTCTCTCTCTTCTAAGACCTCTGGGGAAAGAAATATTGTGATATAACCAATAAATCTCCAGTTCTCTCTGGCTGGAGAGTTCAAAGTGAGACCAAGTAAAAAACATCAGGAAAGATACAGAGTCAACCACAGCCAGCCCAATAAGGGAGACACTTCTCTAATGCAACTGGGACATGGGCTGGGCTGCTGAAGCCTCTTTGTCTAAGGTGGTGAAGGAGGATTTCAGCAATTTGCTAAGGTGCTATTTCCTATCATCTCTGAAATCCAAATGGGACTCATTACCAATACTCCTGGGTCCTAACTATAGTCTTATTCACTTTGAAGCCCAGAAATAACTCACAGTGAGTGACCCCTGAGATGTATGCTAGAGTGCCTTTGCAGCTCAGCTAACATATTCGATTGGACACTCACATTCAATGGTACACTTGCACTCCCCAAACTATACTTTGTAACACTACCAAGTTTTACCAGCTCAGGAGAAATATTTAAAAGAACATTTTCTTTAAAATAGAAAAGAGATTAAGATAGAAAGGAGAACGTTTCATGAGGTGAATACATACACACACGCAATCACACATAACATACATGCTCACTCTAAAATATAGTCTATGGCAATGGTTGGCAAACTATGGCCAACCAGCCAAAATGGGCCCAATCCCTTTTTTGCGCAACTTGTGAACTAAGAATGGTGTTTACCTTTTTAAATGGTTGGAAAAAAAATAAAAAGAAGAATATTTCATGACACATGAAAACTATGTGAAGTTCAAATTTCAGTGTCCATACATAATGTTTTATTGGAACACAGTCATTCCTATTTGGTTACATATTGTTGACAGCTGTTTTCATACTACAAGGAGAAAGATGAGTAGTTATTACAGAGACCGTATGAACAGCAAGTCCTACTATATTTACTATCTGGCCACTTACAGAAAAAGTTTTTCAGCTTCCATTCTATAGCCTATATTTATTATATTCAACGTTATAATATGAGAAGTGTTATATTTGATATTCATATATTTGATATTCACATTATAGTGAGGGGGTTGTGAGCCTATTATTTTAAAAGATTGCCAAGAAAAACTAGAAAAACTTAAGCATCTATTAATTAAAAGATGGCTAAATGAAGTGGAGAGATTCATAAAATGGAATATTATACAGCCATTAAAAACCGTAAGGTAAATCTATATTAACCAGCTTTGAAATCCATGCAAGAAATATATTTAAGTGAGAAAAAAAGTCACAAAACTAATATATATAAAAATTATGATCTGGTTTTTATTAAAATATGCATATTTTGTACATCCCTAGAAGTTTTCTGCACAGTGTTTATTGCTGAAGATGGGATGGGAGTAAGCAGGGGAGAGTTTAATGTTCTACATTCCTGAATTATTCATATTTTTACAAAGAGCATGAATTAACTTGTAATTTTTTAAAAAGCATTCAAAATTACCAGCTTTTTCTCATTCTTACATGTAATGTTCCTAAAATTAAAAGTCAGTTTCACACCCAGTAACTCCTCTTAACATGCTAAAAGTGGTTTGGACTTGGACACCTGTTGCTGTGCAAATGCTGCTGGGACAAGAGAATTCACCACCAGAAAGTTCCCTAAACTTATGACGGCTCCTTTCTAAATTAAAGTGGAGACTGGAATCCCTTTGAATTGGGTCCCCCACTTTAGCTGTCTGGGTTCTGGGCAGGGAGAACTCTAGCAGAAGCTCTGTATTCCTCCCGCAAGGAGATCAAGTTCCCAGCACGGCAGGAGAAGGATGTGATCATCATGGAGGCCTCTTCCGACCACACGGGGGTGTGAGCGCCCAGGCTTCGCCTCGCTCCTCCGCCCACAGATCAAGAGAAAGCCAACCTTCTGGCTGCTGCTGTTGCTGTTGCTGCTGCTGCTGCTGCTGCTCAATCTGCTTCTTCCGTTTGGCTTCTAAAACCGGGTTCTCATATTGTGTCTTCCTGTTGATGTGGCTGAAGCAGAAGGCAGACAGTGTTCAGTTAGGAAACATTTCATCCCATGAGCAAAATGCCAATCAGGCTACGTCCCATGATTAGAACTGAGCAGAGCAGTTGGTCTGAGATGTTGACTATCTTGTGTCAAAATGTGCAGTTAGAAAGAAGAAATAAAAACGCATGGTTTCCACTATTGACTTCTTGTATGTACCAAGAATTGTGCTACCAGTTTTACACGCATTTTATTTTAAAATCCTCAATAAATGCCAGGAGGTAGGTCCTATTTATATTCATCTTTTATGGATAAGGAAAGTAAATTTCTGAGCAGTTAAGTAATAACTCACCTAACATAATGTAGCTAGTAAATAGTAAAGAGGCAAGCAAGCTCGGGTCTGTCTGCTCTCAAATCCCAGGATTTTAACCACTGACTCACTCAAATGTCTAAGGAATCACCTGACAGGGGACTGCTTTAATTCACCAAGAATTAGATTGTAGAATTATTAAAAAATGAGATTAAAGTGGAGACGTGATGTTGTCTGTAACATTTAATGCAAAAACTGCTGTGTAACTTTCTACAACAGAGTCTGCAGAAGCATGAGCACTCATCCAAATGACGCAACGAAAACAAGGACTCCAGCAACATCTGTCAACTACTGTGATCAATAGACATGGAGGCAGGATTAAAAGTATATGCCTTAGGCAAAAAGACTCCAAATGCAGCTAACCTAAGCAAATGTGATGTGCTCAAAGTGACAAAGACCCAGATACTTCAGATGGCTCCAAAACTAATAAGGCTATGGCAAAACAAAACTACACATACATACGTGTACATCCGGACATATAAATATATATTTTTTTGCCATGGCCTGTATGTATATGTATATACACACACATCATACAAACATACACACACAAGCATATGCATATTCACAGATGTATTTTTTTCTTCATCAAAATCATACTTCATTAGAAGTTTTGGAACATACCTATTATGTGATTATTTAGAACTTGAAATATTTTTTAAAGCCAGGCTTTATGTTTTAAAGCCAGGCTTGTCAAATAGGGTGGACTAACTTATTACCCTTAACTCCTGTTATAGGACTACGTGTTTATTTCCTAATTCTTATAGGCAATTTCATGCTAAGAAATAGTCTAAGAGAACAGGCATGTGGATCTGAAAAGACATAGGAAGGAGAAGTATATAGTAAGATAACACGCTTCTCAAACCAAGTCTCTCATCCATCAAAGCTGTCGTCACTTGTTCCTTTTCTCTCTTAAGGCACAAATTATTTGAGGGAGACTTAAAATGAGCCCCAAAAAGGCAGAAACCCCACTGTACATCTGTGAGAAAGAGGATCTGCAGAGCACACAACAGAATTTTATATGATGAGGGTCAAAGAAATGCCTGAGCTTGCCTTTCTGAAGTCCCAAATCATCAATCCTTCTTGTCAGGTCAAGAGGTGGTAACATGAGTATTGGCCAAGGACACTTGCTAAACTGGACTCATAATTTTTTTTTTAAAGATTGACACCTGAGCTAACATCTGTTGCCAATCTTCCTTCTTTTTTTTTTTCCTTCTTCTTCTTCCCAAAGCCCCCTAGTACATAGTTGTATATTCTAGTTATAGGTTCTTCTGGCTGTGCTATGTGGGACGCCACTTCAACAAGGCTTTTTTTTCTTTTTTCTTTTCTTTGGAGGAAGATTAGCCCTAACATCTGCCGCCAATCCTCCTGTTTTTGCTGAGGAAGATTGGCCCTGAGCTAACATCTGTGCCCATCTTACTCTACTTTTTTATATGTGGGACACCTGCTACAGCATGGCTTGATAAGCAGTGCATAGGTCCACAGCTGGGATCCAAACTGGTGAATCCTGGGCTGCCAAAGTGGAACATACAAACTTAACCACTGTGCCACCAGGCTGGCCCCTCAGCATGGCTTGATGAGTGTTGCCATGTCCGTGGCCCAGGATCTGTACTGGTGAAACCCTGGGCCACTGAAGTGGAGCACGTGAACTTAACCACTTGGCTATGGGGCCAGCTCCTCATAATTTTTTATAATAAGATGCTGAGCACTTTACGGCCTGGCATTTTTGCATCATATATTCTTATCACCAGGATATTACACAAGTGACTTTTCATTGCCAGCATCGCGAGGGATAGAAAGCTTGCCGGTTATCTTCACTGTGGCAGGTGGGATTATGATAATAGAATATTCATATGGTATTTGTTTCTTTCAAAAGGATCTTTTATTAGTTATTTCTCATTTTTCTCAGAGGAAATGATATAGAGCGTATTTTTTCAGTGTTTAATCTCTTGAGTTTCTTTTATTTTTTTTTAGTATCATCCTACCAACAGATGGTTCTGATGAAAGGCCAAAGTGTGTGCCCAATGCTAGACTAAGGTACATAATAAAGAGGTCATGATAAGGGTTTGAGACACTTAAAGATGGAGAACAGGAGCCATGTCTATGGTCCTCAGGCAAGGGAGAGGCAAACAGGCATAGAAAATCTTGCAACTTAGGCTAGTTCTCAATTTCCTTCTTAATCTTGCCAGTATTTCATACATTATTAACATGTGTCTGATCCTTTTAGAAAGTCTGAAGTAATAAATAAGTAATTACTGAGAAGTTCAGACATTGGCAGGGCAAAATACACAAAACAGGTCTTCCTCCTAAAGATAAACAATGCGTATTCATCTGGTCTACGGAATCCTTGCTTTGCTCATTCATTCACTGATTCACCCATTCATTCAACTAACACTTATTAAGAACCTGCCATACACCAGGACAATTTTGGGCCTTGGTAATACAGTGGTAAACAAAAGACATGGATCGTGCCCTCGCGAACTGTATAATTTACCATCTTCAAATTCACTTAATATTTTCTCATTCATTGAAATATACATATGTATTTTCTTTACAAAATCAGTATTACATTATTATTTAGTTTGTACATTATAATGGTGGCAAATTCTGTTCAGAATAAATGTACATAATCACAGAGGGGTGCAAACTAAATGGTGGATTAAGAGGCACTTACTCTACATAGTAGATACCATAGACAGGGTCTTCAATCTTTTCCCAACCAGCAGGCAGTTCTGAAAAGTGAAAGAATATTTAGAGGAAGAAGAGCATATCCGTCAAGGGCCTAGGGATTTTCAACACTTGAGTTAGGCAAAAAGAGAAAGACTCATAAAGATGCGTTAAATCCAATTAAAACTGCATATCCTAACAAAAAAAAAGTGAGAATTATTTTTATGAGTGTATTTTTCTACATGAAGAGCAATTCTTTACTGATATTTTGTGCAAGCAAATAAAACAATAAAATGCAGCTTAGGTGTCTTCCTTCTAAATGAACTATTAAATTTTAATGGAAATATAGTTAAAATTTGCTTTGAATACCTAGCTCCTATCTTAAATATTTACCATTTTCGCATTTTCTTTCTAGACTACCTTACCATACAAGCAAAAATGGATGAAAATTAATTTTTTTTTTCATTTTCAATACAATAGTGCTGTTTTGGCTCTACTTGGAATAAAATAAAATTTGCATCTTGTTTTTTCTTTGTTCCTAACTGAAATGCTACCAACTATATAAAAATCCCCACATGGAGTTGGGTTTTTGAAACGCACCCACCGATCACTCGATTGCTACATTTTGACAGGCCCATTTTCACCAGCACTTTGCCTACGAAAGCAGAAACACAGGTCCTGCATTCTGAGAACTCACTACCTAAAGCGGAAGATTTTATTCCTTCAAATGTGGTGGAAAAATGGCATTGAGGGATATATGTGCCTTTCTGAAAACTCAACTGTGCTCTACTGGGCTTTACCTCATAAGGTTTTGTATCAAAGGTCAGAATGTTATTAACTAGTTGATAGTAAGTTCTGTTATAACAGGAACCTATTGTAAAAAAGCCCACTGTACCAGATAATTTGAGTTGGTGAAAGAAGCAACTAGGTTGTGTTTCATGTCATTAAACAGTTCTTTTAGGCAGAGCAGCAATTAACAATTTCAAAGCCACTCTGATATGTACGTAGTTAAGGCAAGCTTGCATAATACCATACTGCAAAGTGAATCATTATTCCTAGAAGTAACTATTAAGACCACCTTGAATGGAATATTACAAACACTTGAAATATCACTTACTTTTAAATACTAGATTTTTTAAATTCCAGGAACCATGTGGTCACTATTTTCACATAGTGACAGTTTCATTGGGGCATACGGCTTACATATGCCACGAACAGTCCCACACTGAAATGAAGTCACGTGCATGCACCCAAACACACACAGGCTTAACTACTCAAAGTTTATGTTTTGCTCAGATTTGGCTGCACATCAAGAAACATTAATTTCATGGATTTTGCTCCACATGTTATTTGTTTGCAAACAAAAAGACAAGTTTTCTCCCTTTTCTTCTAATTTTTTTTTTTAAAACATGTAGCAGGTTTTAAAGAAGTCTTTGAATTCTGAGAGACATAAGCTACTAAAATGCAAGACAGGTCCAATTTGCAGTCGTTGATACAACGTGGCACTTTTATACGCAGAGTCTTGTGGACTGATGCAAATCAAATGCCTGGGAAACGGTTTCCCCTTACAAAGCTGGAAATTACCATTTAAATGAAAGCGAACCAGGAAAATATTTCCAAAGAGCTGGGAAATCAAAGATTAAGAAAATGCAAATTGGTGCACAGTCATCTTTGTTCTGGCATGGGGCAGAAGAATGGGTGGGTGTGAGGGACCACATTATATTTAATGAACCAAATCTCCAACCTTAAATATTTGGCCGGATTATTTTTAGATAAAATTAGGAAAATATTAAGAATTCAATTCATTCCATTATTAATTTGTCAAACATTTATTGAGCGCCTACTGTCTGCCTGTGGGTGTACTAGGCACCAGAGACACAAAGATAATTACAAGTGCACCATCTGAGCAGACAATTCAAACACAGCATGCTAAGTGGTTTGAGAGAGGTCCGAGGAGGGTACAAGAAAAGAAGACACCTTTGACTTTGTCCCGTCACCTGGTCAGTCACTTACGTTCTAGAGTTGAGAAATGAGGTCAGTCAACCGGTATTTCTGGAGATTTGTAAATTAAAACACATCTTCCAGAACAGATCGGTAAACTCCAGAAATTTTCCAGTTTTTCAAGCTAAAACTCATTTAAAATTGAAAACATAGATCTCTCACTTCCAATGTGGTGATTAACTTAATAACAGGAATTAGCCTCCTAATGCTTAAAATAGAAATGGGTCATGGATTTAAAAAAGGAAGATATTTGTCCTCAAAGTTGCCATTTGGTTCTAAAAACTGAAAATGGCAGAAAATATTGAAGCCCAGAAAATGATAACATTACAATTTTTTTAAACACTGAAGATGCCTGAAGAGCCACCCTACTATGTTTTAACAACTGTTGGACGTTAGACCAGACTGTACAACCTGTCACACCATTTCAGGCCACTAAGACCCTGTGGGGGCTGCCCAGATCTGGGATTAAACCTGAGCTCTACCATTCCATAAGTCTGGTGTTGGTCTAGTTACTTAACATCTCAGAACCACATGTTTCTCCTGGATTTACCTCAAAGGCTGACTATAGATTAAATGAGGATGCTTGTGAAAATTTTGCACAGCACCGGGCACACAAGCTCAATAAATGGCAACTGTTCTAGGAAAGCACAAAAGGAATAGGACGGATTTACATAGCCTGCTTTCTTACTGTTCCTGCCTCTGAAAATCTCATGCTGTACTCATCATCCTCACTGAAGCAAATACGGAGCAGTGAAGTGTCCTAAATTCTTTAAACCAAAGATTTGTCAACACACAGACTGAAAGTCATATTCACAACTGTGACTTAGTTTGGGTTGGGAGGGGACCTCATGTCCTTGCCTCTACCTCTCCTAATTGGGTTCAGCACATGAATACCTTATAATTCCAAAAGAAGGTTCTGCAAGTGCTTTTTGATTCTGGGGAGGTGTCTGCAGAAAGTGTGATAAATTCTGCAAAGCAAAAGTACATAATGGAGCTACTGACCCACCTCAAACAACAGAGTTCAGAAATGACAACTCTATAATCAAATGATCTGTGTCCAACATCCAAGCCAACCGCCCCCGCCTCCCAGAGGCAGATTACAGAGAGGGTTTCCTTGTTACATCTGGAACCATATTGTTCACCGAAAACCTGACAGTTGCTATTGTTTGAAATTAGGACCCTCTTATTAAGAAAATGGGCAGTCGGCTTGTCAATAGAATGTGGAGTGAACACAACAGAAAACTGTGTGTGTGTGTGTGTGTGTGTGAATGTGCGTACACATCACTCTTTCCACAGTAGACATGTGCAGGCAAAAATCAAGAATCCTATCTCTAGTCTACCTACAAGGACACATTTCTATAGTACACATATTCCTGCCTTGTCCAATATTAAAGGCAAAAAGTACCATAAGGAATGTATTGAAAAATCCAACAAGAGGGAATTAGTTAATAAATAATACAACTGGTAAAAACAATAATATGTGATGACCACAGCGACAAATATTGAGAGACATTCTCATTAAGTCTCCTCACAACCACAATGGGAGCTCCTCCTTCAGGCTTTCTGTATAGATACGGAAAGAGAAGCCAAGAGAAGGTGAATGATTTGTCCAAAGTCATACAGCCAGGAAGTGGGAGTGCCAGGATATGAAGCCAGGCAGCCTGATCTGACCCCAGAGACAGCTCCACCACTTCACCAAACCATCACCCAGAATTATGGCTTTGACCATGAGAAGGGATACCATGCAGCCATTAAAACTTACTTTTTGCAGTCTTTAACAACATAGCAAAATGTCCACAATGTTACAGTTACATGGGGAAAAGAACAATACAGAAACTTTTCTCTTAAAACTTTCAACATTCAAACTTCCATAGCCCTATGCACAGCTGTATTATCTCCACCAGCTGCCCACAGATGGCAGTGGTCACTCACATATAATAGGCAGGTAGCAAGACTTGAATCACTTGGTTCAACAAATGATTGAGGCACTAATTTTGTGTCTGGAAAACCTAGTTCTGTCTTTTTCAATTACTTCATCTAATATCACTGGATTGAGAAATTTTTTTTGATAAAATTAGTTTCAAATGGTTCTATTACACAGGTTGAACCTCAAGTCATTCCGACCACAATGACCACAAGGCCAACGTATTAAACATCTTTAAAAATAGATCTATCAATAGTTATCGAACATTGCTGGCATATCCATCAATTACAACATGATACGTCCCAAACATTAAGAAAAATAGAGTTAAATTCTATTATATCATAACACTAGTCAACCATGACTGATTATCTTTTTGTGCATAATAAAAAATAAAATGACAACAATAATCTGCATTAAATATTTATATTTTCAGTTCTTAAAGCAATCTCAAAAATGCTATGCTGACTGAATAAACTCAGGACAGTTCCATCCATATTGATCTTAAACAACCTTCTGGTTAATTTTCAATCAGCCAAGGCTTTCATGTGCAATTTAGTCGAAACTTGTGCTTTCCCATCTACCCTTCTGCAGATGCATCAGATGAAATGCGAACTAATTTTAATATTGTTAAAAGCTGAACATAAAACATTTAACTTAGCAGGGCACATAACTTAATATATTCCAACAGCAAAGATAAAAGAGTTTGGCATTATCTGCTCATGTAAAATATTTCTAAACTGTAATAGCTAGAGTAGACAAGACCTGATTTACATTGATATACACACTCTAAGGAAAATGGCACATAGAAACCTTGCATCTGGTTTTCAAGCCATTCACTACAGTTACAAGTCAACATGTGGCCTGCGACTTAAGAACAACTCAATGCTAAGACTTAACTATTCAATTAATCATTGAAATTGTTGGATTGTCGTTACTCCCACAAAGATCTCTAAATTAGTCTGGTGGGTTTTGTTTTGCTTTTTTGTATTCCCCATGTAAACACCCACACCAAATGAACACAGAAATAGGCCAAGATAGGTTATATGGGAGTCCAAGCAACACAGCAAGTATCTGTCTCCTTGGTTTTTTCTTACTCTTCAATTTATAAGACTACCTAGCACCAATTTTCTAAATCTCATTCTAGTCTCAATTCGCTCAGACTTCTTTGTAGACACAATTTATTACAACTCTGCGTGATGCCTGCAGTCAGACACATGGGTTGTAAGATTGACCTTTCAGGGATAAGCAGGAATGAAAATCATAAATGGAGAAGCACAAACTAAAGAAACCAAGAGATTAAGCAATTCACCGGAGACAAAACCATTTAGGCAATCATGCAGCAGTAGCCGGCTGGGAGGGTTTACCTAGTTCACTGTCCAGCTCCTCGGTGTGGACCCCTTCTTCTCCAAAGGAATAGCAGGAATGAGACAGAAAAGAGAGAAAGAAAAATTCAGACACCAGCACCAAGAAAGAAACTCCCCTCAGAAAAACAGCAGCAAACACATCACTCTGTTTTGTCCTTACCTGCATTGTGGCTTATTTCATTGGCTTGGCTAGTAAACTCAAGACCTCAGTGTAAATCACAAGACAGGAAGAGCTGATACTGGCAACATAATTATACGGCTCATTTCCTTGCACGTCAAAAGAGGGTTTGATTGGTTGTAAAAGATGACAAATACCTTTGCGGTTTCAATGTTCTTAAGTGGGAACACTTAAAACAGACCTTATTTCGAGCAAACAAAGATGTTAGATCTTTCAATATTAGTCCTTTCAATCCTTCAATAATCCTCCAATTAGTGAGGCAATTATACTCACAATTAAAGCATTACTTAACTTATAAGTAATACTGCTGCCTGAAAAATGGAAGGTAAGGTGAAATCGAGAATGCAGATTGTAAAATGAGTTACACATCAATGCTTTTCGATAGGAGTTAGAAAGATGAGTTATGTCATGATGATGTACATTAGGGAAGCAAGGCTCAAAGGCTGCCCTGAAAGGAGTATTAGTGGCCAGAGTTTACTTTATATAAGATTTATAAGTCAAACAGCTCAGAAATATTAGAATGAAAATGTTCTCAATAATTTCAATGAGCAAAACAAGTCAAGATCTTTCCCAGTCTTGATCTCCTCTTGCTAACATCTTATTATTACCGAGAAGAGAACACAGGACAGCATACAAATCATTTCATTCATTAAGTCTCTCCAACTACAGAGCGGGTGGCTGTCCCCTCCACTGTGAGCTCCAAGAACACAGGGATCAAGCCTGTTTTCACTACCACAATATGTTCAGTGACTAGTCTAGTTTTTGGTACATGGTAGATACTAAATATTTCTCAAATGAATGAATGAATGAATCAATTAATCAACAATTGACTTTAGTAACCAACATGGCCCTATCCATCTTGTAAACTCTTCATTTAAAAACTAGCCAACGGCCAACACCAAGTTTTGACACTAGCATTTTTTCTTAAAAAGGAAATCTGATTTACATAAAATCTTCATTCATTTCTTTAATAATTATTTAATGAGACCTACTATGTGCCAGTCACTGTTCTAGGTGACAGAGATATTAAAATGAGCACAATCAGACACATCTCTACCCTTTTGGAGGAGGAGACAAGTCCAAAGCTCACATAAGTGAAAATAAAACTGAAACTATGATAAGCTCTCTAGAGTAAGACACATAATAGAATGAACTAATCATATCTGGGGGCAAGGTCACAGAAAAGTCCCTGAACTGCAATCTGAAGGTTACGCAAAATTTAATAGAAAGACTTAGAGTGAAAAATGACTAGAATTTAAGTTCTCCAAGAGCAGAGCTTTTTGTTTGCTGTGTTCATTAATACATCTGAAGTCCCTAGAACACATGTGAAACAGAGAAGACATTCAATAACTATTTGTGTAATCTAAGAGTATTCTAAGAGAGAACTGCATCTCTAAATGTCATGGCGCAGGAACAAGTGGGGATGAAGGGCAGAGAGTGGGGAGCAGCAGAGTAAGATAAGCTGGAGAGGTTGAAACACACAGGGCTTGGAGAGGCAACATGAGGACTGGCATTTACTGAGCAGACTGACAGCACCATTGAATAGGGCTTGTCGGGTAGTCAGTGATAAACAATCACATTTACATTTTAAAAGACTGTTCTGAGTGCAGGGTAAGAAGGAGAGGGGCAAGAGCCTAGGTGGGAGATGAGCATGACCTGGACTAGGACGGTAGAGGTGGTGAGGAAAATGGTGGATGGATTCCAGAGATGTATGGGAGGTAAAGTGAACTCAGCTGGACATGGGTTAGAAATGGGGGTGAAGAAAAGTAACAGGTCAAAGGAGACTCTTAAAAATGCATGGATTTACCCAAAACTGAGATAGGGAACACTTACAGAAGACCAGATTTGGGCAGGGGGAGATCCTTAGTTGTGTTTTAATCATATCGAGTTTGAAGTCTCTTTGAGACAAACAGTGTGATTAACCAGGCAGATCAACTCTGGCCTGGAGCTCAAAGGCAGGGTGGCAAGGCTTCTGATTGAACTAGATACACAGAAATGACAAAAGGAGTTGTACACTGAAGATCAAAATCCCAAACTAGTTTCTTACTTTTTTGAGATAGGAAATATAAAATATAAAATTTTTACAGTAAGTATGATGCTATACTGTTACATTCCATGTGCATATGACCTATAGAAAGAAATACAGGAACAATATTGTGGCCAAGAATGTTATTCTTCTTTGTGTCATCATATAAACAACACAGGGCAGCTTTGTGTTAACTGGCAATTGAAAATACGGGTATGGGAACTGATACTTGTCATAGTGGTATAATCTGGTTATATATTTATACTATTTGTGTACACAGGCACACAGACATACATATAACTTCTACTAAAAATAGAATATATGAATTCTAATGTTGAAGGGATAATTACTGAACTAACTGTGTTTGGTATGAATACATACTTGTGCCAAAGGAAATAACATTAACACCAATAATGAGAATCTAAAAATTAACTAGATTTGGTAACAAAACCATTTAGTAATTCTACTCAATACTTTTACTACATTCACAGTTTTTCTCAGTAAAACCTACTGGAGTCTTCTATGATCTATAAAATTATATTAACAGGCATTTTCATACATTCCCAGTCTAACTATAATGGATACTGACAGTGAAGATCCTATGGTAATAAGAGTGCCTAACTTACCTTCAAAATCATCAGGCACCAAATACAGAGTAAATTTTGTTCTATGAAATTTTATGGCTAAATGTATTTTATGTTCTGATCTTTGAAAATTGGTTACCTATGTATTATATATTAAACAGGTACTTGAATAATCAGGACAGTCCATTATCCTATAACCATGCAAAATAATGCAGCTGACTACACCCGTGCCATTCCTTCTTTAGGAACAGGGCTAAGCAACCAAAACAAAATGTGTCTCAGTCACGCCTCTTCAGTCAGAAGATTTGTGTTTCCACGTGAAGTGAACACACAATTCTATGCTCATTTCATATAATCTGCAATCCATGTATAACAGAAGGATCTTGAAGAACAACGTTTTGACAGTATTATACTCTACAAGCTTACATTTTCAAACAAATCTCAAGTTTATATATACAACAATTCTGCCCCATAGGATAAATTAATAAAGTTTCACCAGCTTACAATAAAATATGCATCCAATAATTATACCACTAATTCAAATGCCAGAAATGAATAATGAATAGCAAAGCGAACCATTTCCCTTTTAATTCGTCCATGTCGGAAAGTAATTTTGGTAGAACTTGGGATAGATTTCAGTGTACTGAAAAGGAACATATTTGCTCTGTCTTAACTTTTTTTTCATTTTGGAAAAGTAATTAGAAATCCCAAAGCCTTGAAATAAACTTCTTTTAATCGTAACTCTTAGAGCCAGTTGATTCTTTTCAGAGATTAATGGGGAGAGTGGGGCTAGGGGTAACACCTCAGTCTTTCTTGGAAGAATACATTTTTCATATATTTAGGATGTAGTCTACGTTACACAGAGATTCCCCAACAAGTCAAGATCTGCTTTCCCTATTCCAAGACTGGGGAAACAACATAGTCACGAAATACGTAGAGTTCAAGAAAAGCTCCTAATTTTGTCCTCTAAGACTTTCATAATATAGGGTTAGGGTCCAACAGGGAAGTTACTGGGGCATCGCTGGTTTCTATCTTCCTAGAGACTTTCTAGAGTTCTCTCCAAGTTCTGGAAGGTGGAGGTTGGATCTTCATTTGAATAGTTTCTGACTGCGCTAAAGTTCTGTTTCTAATGGAGATATTAGTATGCTCTGCCTTTACGTGTGAACAAATCATTCGTTTAAAAACAATTCTACCGATTTTCCTCCTGCTTTTGGAAACCACAATACATTTACTAGAAACTGGATTACCTTTTAAAAACTCATTGTTAAAAGATGGTTGACCTTGCTACAACTTTTTAAAATTTGCACGTGTGAACAAGCCCCCAATTCACTAGAACCAAGACCTTCCTAGCCCCTTACCATCATCTTCACACTCTTCCAGAGGCTTCTGCTGCTTGTTCAGGCACCGAGGGTCTAACCAAGATGTTGTTTTTGTATTATGGCTGCAATCCAGAAACAAAAACAAGGAATTTGTTTGAAAAGAAAATAAGCACAAAGCCCAATGACAGAAGAATTATATATTCTTGAACATTTGCTCTTTGACCAAAGCAAAGATATTTTTCAACAGCAACCCAGACCAGAAGAAAGCCTGAGTTTGGAATTATAAAATGGCTTGCAAAGGATCTTAGGTAGGCTTTTTACTTACCTAAGAAATAATCATTCCATTATGGAGAGCTTAAAATGTAATACCAGTTTTATTTTTGAAAAATGAGTTCCAAATGACACTGCTTATCTATATCACCTACCCTTGTCTAGACTTACTTTAGGCTTGGTATTTGCCAAAGAGCAAAGGCCAATTTATTTTAAATTTGTTTATGACTTAAATCTTGGATGCTGGAATTCACAAAGAAGGCTGCTATTTCACTCCTTAGATTACACAAGAATTCTCACGACAGTATGAAACTACCTCAATTCATGCAAGTGGCTCAAAGCTGTTAAGACATATGATTAGAGTCCTTCCTAAATTTTGCTTCAGACATAGTGAAGGCAATCAAAAATTACCTATCATAAATAGAACCTGGGCCAAGAAACAGAGAAGCTAAACATGTCACCCAATTTTCTTCTGGAAGGTACGGCCTAACTCTACATGAAGTGTTCCAACAGACACTGACTGGGCCCTTAAAGGTCTGAAAGTTTACAGAGCATTCCCAAGAATCTATATTGCCCTTCAGTCATGTTAGAAATGTCACAAGAATGACTGGAAGAATTGCCCCATAGCAGGTAAATACACGGGGACAAAGTTCTGCACGAGCTCCCAGTCCACGCTATGCAAGCTAAATAGGAGAGACAAAGAGCTACAAGTCTAGTCGTTCTAGCTGCAAACCAGAAAGGAAAACAAGAAACTAAAAAAAAAATTTTTTTTGCAGGTCAAGTAGTAACCTAAATTTTTCTGGAAGTCTGAAGTTTAGGTTGTAAATACATTGCAAAAATTGTCACAGTTCTTTATTTTAGATTTGAATCTTATTAATTGTTGAAAAATCATGGCTTAACTGAAAAACAGAATGTGCAAAGGCATACACACATTATCTCAACTCTGTTAAAAGAAAAACAAACAAACAAATGAAAGGCAACATAGTAACAACTATCACCACCAATGCTACTTATTTGTCCAGTTACAGCTACCAGAATTTGTTCTTTTATATGTATCAGTTTATTTAATCCTTACAATAACTCTATGAAGAGTGTCATTAGTAGTCAAATTTTTACTCCCCATAAAACAGATGAGAAAACAACAGAGAGGTGAAAAAATTTGCCCAAGGACACTCTGTTGACACATGGCAGAACTGGGAACCAAACTGAGGGAGTCTAACATTAGAACCTACGGTCAGCACTATTCACACAGTAAGATAGTAAAAATGGTGAGTGCTGGGAGGGAAGATTATGTATGATTTTTTTTAAAATACTTTTTTTATTTTGAGATAATTGTAGATTCACATGCAGTTATAAGAAAGAACACAGAGAGATCCCACATGTCCTTTACCCAGATTCCAACAATACTAACATCTTGTAAAACTACATAGTACGACGTCACAACTAGGACATTGATAAATAGTCACGATACAAAACAATTTCATCATCACAAGGATCCTTCACGCCCTTTGGTAGCCGCACTTGGTTCCCTTCCAACCTCTTTTTCCAAAAGCCATTTTTAACTCCTGCCAACCACTAATCTGTTTTCCATTTGTATAATTTTGTCATTTCAAAAGTATTACTTAAATGAAATCATACAATACGTAATCTTTTGAGATTGGCATTTTTCATTCAGCAGAATTCTCATACAGGCTGTTGCAGGTATCAATAATTAATTCTTTTTACTGCTGAATAGTATTCCATGGCATGGATGTACCACAGTTTAACCAATGAAGGGACATCTGGGTTGTCTCCAGTTTTTGGTTATTTGAAATAAATCCATAAACATTCACATACAGGTTTTTGTGCCAACATAAGTGTTCACTTCTCTGTCCAAATGTGCAATTCCTGGGTGGTATGCAAGTTGCTTGTTTAGCTTGTTAAGAAACTATCAAACTATCTTCTAGAATGCCATGCAATTTTACATATCTACTAGCAATGTATGAGTGATCCAGTTTCTCTGCATCTGTGCCATCATTTAGTGTTGTTAACTATTTTTTTATTTTAGCCATCCTCATAGGCGTGTAATGATATATCATTGTGGTTTTAACTGGTATTTCCCCAACGGTTAATGATGTTGAACATTGTTTCACGTGCTTATATGCCATGTGCATATCCTCTTCAGTGAAATGTTTGTTCATGTCTTTAGCTCATTTTCCACTTGGATGATTTGGTTTTTTTACTGTTGAGTATTAACAATTCTTTATATATTCTAGATACCAACACTTTGTTAGGTACAGGGGTTGCAAATATTTTCTGCCAGTCTGTAGCTTGTAGTTTCATCCTCTTATGAGGGTCTTTGGTGAAGCAAATGTTTTTCATTTTAATAAAGATGAATTTATCAATTATTTCTTTTAGAGATATTTTTAATGTCAAGTCTAAGAACTCTTTGCCTATTCCAAGATCTCAAATATTTCCCCGTTTTTCTCCTAAAAGTTTTATTTCTTTATGTTTTTACACCTAAGTCTGTGATGATCTGTTTTGACTTAATTTTTTTTTTTTGCATAATGTGTGAGGTTTCGGGTGAGGTTATTTGCTTCTGGCTATGCACTTGCTCCAGCACCATTTTACTGAAAAGTCTATCTTACCTGCATTGAAATGCTTTTTCATTTTTGTTGAAAATCAGCCAGACACATTTGTGAGTCTGATTCTGGGTTCCATTGATCTGTGTCTATTTCTTCATCAATACCACACAGCCTTTATGACTGTGGCTATTTAACAAGTCTTGATATTGGACAGACTTATTACTCTGACTTTATTCTTCTTTTTCAAAATTGTTTTAGCTATTCTACTTCCTTTGCCTTTCCACATAAATTTTAGAATAAACTTGTGTATATCTACAAAAGAAAGTCATTGAGATTTTGACAGGAATTGCATTAAACTCTTATATCCATCTAGGGAGCACTGACATCTTCACTATATCAATCATAGTCTTTCAATCTGTGAATAGAGTCTGCCTCTCCACTTATTTAGACTTTCTCTGATTTCATTCAGCAGTGTTTTGTAGTTTATGGCATACAAAGTCCTGTACATGTTTTACTAGATCTATACCTAAAGGGTACTCCTTTTTTGAAGTAAATGTGAATTGTATTTTATTTTGAATTTTTTGTCCATGTGTTCATTGCTAATATATAGTTATACAATTGCTATTTGTATACTTATCTTTTATCTTGCTGAACTCACTTCTTGAATTCTTTTTGTATTTGTTTTGTGATTTTCTATAAAGATAGTCATGTAATCTGCAAAGACGGGTACTTTTATTCCTTCCTTTTCACTCTGTATGTCTTTTATTTCTTTTTCTTGCTTTATTATCCTGGCTAGAACTTCAAGCATGATGTTAAATAAGAGTGGTGAGAGCTAATATCCTTGGCTTGTTCTCAATCTTGTAGAGAAAGTACTTTCTTTCAACATTAAGTATAATGTTAGCTGTAGGGTTTTTGTAGACATTCTTCAAGTCAAGAAAATTCCCCTCAATTCTTACTTTTCTGAGAATTTTTAGCATGAATGAGTGCTGAATTTTGTCAAACGCTTTTAGTGTACTGATGAATATGATGTGATTTTTTTCTTCAGTCTCTTAATATGGTGGATTACATTGATTAATTTTTCGAATATTAAGTCAGTCTTGATCCCTGGAATAATTCCCACTTGGTCATGCTGTATACAATTCTTTTATTATATTGCTGAAAGCTATTTGCTAATATTTTATTACAGATTACTGATCTATATTCATGAGGATATTGCTCTGCAGTTTCCTTTTTTCTTGTTATTGTCCTTGTTTGTTTTTGGTAACAGGATAACACTAACTTCATAAAAATAAGTGGGCAGTGTTCTTGCTCTTCTACTTTCAGGAAGAGATTACACAGAAATAGTGTTAATTCTTCTTTGAATCGTTCTCCAGTGAAAGCATCTGATTCTGGAGATTTCTTTTCCAGGAGTTTTTAAATGACAAGTTTATTTTCCTTAATAGTTACAGGGCTATGTAAATTCCATACCATTGAGTTCCATACCAATTCTGTTCCATACTGGATGAACTGTGGTAGTTTGTGCTTCTTGAGGAATCGGTCTGTTTCATCTAAGTTGTCAAATTTATGTGTGCATACTTGACGGCAGCATTCTCATCTTTTTGATGTCTTCAGGGTCTGCAGTGATTCCTTGTTTAATTCCTAATATTAGTAATTTGGGACTTTTCTCAACTTTTCTTTGTCAGTCTTGCTAGAGGTTCTTCAATTTTATTAATCTTTTGAAGAATCAGCTGTTTGTTTCACTAATTTTCTTCACTGTTTTTGTTTCAATTTCACTGATTTCTGTACTTTCTTTCTTTCTGTCTAATTACCTCAAATGTAATTTGCTCTTCTTTTTCTAGGTTCTTGACTTGGGAGCTTACATTGTTGATTTGCAACTTTTCCTCTTTTCTAATATATGTGTTTAGTGCTATAAATTTACCTCTTATCACTGCTTTGGCTGTGTCCCACCCTTTTGAATATGCTGTATTTTCATTTTCATTCAGTTCAATTTTTTTAAAAAAATTTCCCATAAGGGGCTGGCCCAGTGGTTAAGGTCATGCACTCTGCTTCAGAGGCCCAGGGTTTCACCAGTTCGAATCCTGGGTGCAGACATGGCACCGCTCATCAAGCCATGCTGAGGTGGCATCCCACATGCCACAACTAGAAGGACCCACAACTAAAAATACACAACCATGTACTGGGGGGCTGTGGGAGAAAAAGGAAAAATAAAATCTTTAAAAAAAAAAAATTTCCCTTGAGACTTTTGCTTGACCTGTGAATTATTTAGAAGTGAGTTGTTTAGTTTCTAA